CTTGAGCCCAGGAGTTGGAGGTTGCTGTGAGCTGTAATGCCACGGCACTCTACCCAGGGGGACAGCTTGAGGCTCTGTCTCAAAAAAAAAAAAAAAAAAGAAGTAATGCCAAATAAAAATTGTAGTTTACAATAGATTGCTGTTGGGGGCACCCCAATCCCAGTTGTTAGGGCACTAGCCATATCCTCTGGGGCTGGTGGGTTCGAACTCGGCCTGGGCTTGCTAAAACAAACAAACAAAAAAACAATAATAGATTGCTGTAAGCTGTCCTGTTTAAGATATAAACAAAAAAACCTAAAAATAACTTTGTCATGGGCTTGCTTTTCAAATATTTTGTTGCATTGACAGTAAGAGAAAATTATATCCACATTTCCACAATTTCCCACCTGTTTCCATTTTCCCACGCTTATGTGCAGTCTTTGTCCATATATTTTTCCCTCGGATACATTAAATGGTAAATTTCTTCAAGATGTGTCCATATAGTTTAAAAAAATAATTTAACATGGCTGGGTGCCTGTGGCTCAAGTGGCTAAGGCGCCAGCCACATACACCTAAGCTAGCGGGTTCGACTCCAGCCTGGGCCCGCCAAACAACAGTGATGGCTGCAACCTGCTGGGCATTGTGGCAGGTGCCTGTGGTCCCAGCTACTTGGGAGGCAAAGGCAAGAGAATCGCTTGAGCCCAGGAGTTGAGGGTTGCTGTGAGCTGTGATGCCACGACACTACCCAGGGGGACAGCTTGAGGCTCTGTCTCAAAAAAAAAATAATAATAATTTAACATAATTTTAATCAGAATATAGATGTCACCCTATATTCTATTTTTCCACTTAATAATATATGAGGGGCTCTTCTACAAATGGAACTTTACCCTGGAAGTGAGAACAGTGTAACCTAAAAATTGTACCCTCATATTAATCTGAAAAAATAAAAAAAGATACTCTATCTCTCTCTATATTATAGATGTATAATATACATATAAAATAACCACTTTTCACCATGAAGATGTTTTTCATGAATCATACAGACACTTAAGGAAGCCCCAATAGGTTTTCCTTCCTTTTGGAGAGAGCTGCCATTGGAGCTTTAGCTGGTCTTCATCTTGGTGTTGAGCCATTCCATTCACACTCAGCCTGAAGTTTTTATTGACAGAGACATAGTTCCTTTCTTTTATGGAAATGCGTGCTAACATTTTGTCAGTAAGTATGAAGTTCACTGTATGTTTTTTCAGAAGGCTTGTTTTCATTAAGAAAATTCTCTATTACTAATTAGCTAATTTTTAAAAAGTCATTAATGAGTGCTGAATTTTATTGAGTGTATTTCCGTCGTCTATTAGACATTATCTATTGAAAAGTTCATAGTGATTTTTTTTTTCCCTTTAATATGGCTGTGGAGGCTTCCCTGGTGTTGAACCATCCTAGCATTACTAGGATAAAACCTACATGTTCTCAGTGGATTTTTATATGTAATCTAGAATTAGTTAAAGGGTTTTTGTGTATGTAAATTATCACATATTATAAGCCATTTATGGCTTATATTTTTCTGTTCTCATTATACTGATATTTGGCTAGGGGATCAAGGATAATCTAATGTCATAAAATGGGTTACCTATTTTTCTAATCTCTGAAACCGTTTGATAAGGACTGTCTTTCTGTACATTTGAACCTAATGTCTTTTATAGGGGTAGAGTTTTCATTACCAGCTCAATTTCCATAATGGTAATTTGTTTTGAGTTTTAAAATTTCTTCTTGAATCAATTTTGGTAATTTGTAATATTCTGCTGGACAGGGTGGAAGCTAGAAAGATACAATCCATATTCTTCAGATGAATACAGTTTGGTAGTACACAGAAGACAAACAGTGACGTAGATATAAACAGTCTGAATACAGGCGTGTTATATGGGTCCTAAAGAAAATTATGGAGTTTGTAAAGGCCAAATTGGTTTGTCTTTGCTTTAATTAACCAGATAATATTCTCATCTTCCCCTCTGGAAAAACCCTAATACCAATTAACCTTCTTAAACTTTGGAAACATACTGTTAGTGCTTGGTTTTCAAATAATTGCCATTTGTTTAAGAGTTAATCCAGTTATTTGCAGTATATTTTAAGTACATATGTTCCTCAAATTACAATGAGGCTATGTCCCAAAAAACCCATCATAAGTTGAACATATCGGAAGTTGAAAATGCGTTTAATATACCACTGAGCATCAGTTTAGCTTAGTTCACCTTGTATGTGCTCAGAACATTTCCACTAGTCTAGAGTTGGGCAAAATCATTTAATACAACACTTATTTTATAATAAAGCATTGAGTATTCATGTAATTTATTGAATACCTGTATTCAAAAAATGCTTACAACACAATACACTGAGGCGTACTGGTTGTTACCCTTGGGATCTCATGGCTGGTTGAAAGCTCTGGCTCGGCTCAGCTCGGCACCTGTGGCTCAAGCAGCTAAGGCGCCAGCCACATACACCTAAGGTGGTGGGTTCGAATCCAGCTGGGCC